TTCGACATCACATGTTCAATTGATTTATGTGTTTTGTTTGTGAAGAATTGCAGAAATAATACATGTAATATTTATGTGTGTGTGATGTAAACAGAGCGCTTGGCCTCTCTCTCTCTCTCTCTCTGTATGGATGGAATTCGTGGTTTAGAGTGAGTGATATGAATGTCGTAACATTACTAGGCTGAAGGCGCCTGAATACTACTTAAACACATCAAAACTATGTTAATTGATCACTGTATAATAAATTCATTCACTCATAATTTCAAATTCCCTTTTCATCCTGTGTTATATACAGAAATACTTGAGTCCCTGAGCTAGTACACAAAAAGAAAACGGAGGACTAAGACATCCTGAAGTGGGTAGAGAACGGACATCTCTACTGGGGAACTCAAACGTTTCTCATGTTTTGTGGGCGCTGTAGCATAATATGAATATGTAAATTACAATTTACATATATACTGTGTATGTAAATTGTAAAAATTTAAATAAAAGAGAAAAACTAAATACGTAGCGTTTAAAGTGTACTGTACAGTGTTGTGGCTTGGCGCGGGGTTATGCAATATTTACAGTTCATGTTCGACATCACATGTTCAACTGATTTATGTGTTTTGTTTGTGAAGAATGCAGAAATAATTTATGTAATATTTATGTATACAGTATACCTGTACAGTATATGTAAATTGTAAAATTATAATTAAGAGAGAAAAACAAAATACGTAGCGTTTTAGACCTGCGCGCTCTGTTTACACCACATGATCAGTCTGAAACACGTGTGAAGTTTTTAAGCGTCCTCAGTGATTTCTCATTACTGTTTCTCCAATTTTGTGACTATGGAAAAGAAGAATATCTCCGGGAAGTGTTCTGGTGATCGCATTTTCGGTGGTGATCGTAAAAGAAAGGCTATAACACTTGAAGAAAAGCTTGATGTTGTCAAGCGTTTTGAAAATAAGGAAAGAACATGTGATATTGTGCGTGCAACGGGAATAAAGGAGTCTACTTTACGCACCATTAGAGACAATGCAGCAAAGATTAAAGCAAGCTGTATTGAGTGCTGGCAAAAGTGTGAGATCACGGCCAAAGGAACTTGAGGAGATGGAATGGCTTCTAAGTGTTTGGATAGAAGATCAAACGAAAAAGCGATCTGGGACCAGCTTCCTCACCATTAAAGAGAAAGCCCTATCAATATATGAGGACCTAAAGAAAAAAGCTGAAAATCCTGCTGATGTGATTGCCTTTGGTGCTAGTAGTGGATGGTTTTCTGGTTTTAAGAACCGCTATGCCTTTCATAATGTAAAGTTATGTGGTGAAGCAGCAAGTGCCGACGAAGAAAGTGCCCGGGCATTTCCTCCCACTATAAAGAAATTGATTCAGGAAGAAGGCTACACCTCAGACCAAATTTTTAATTTGGATGAAACAAGTTTATACTGGAAGCGCATGCCAACAAGAACTTACATATCCAAGAATGAAGCACATGCTCCAGGCTTTAAGGCTGCAAAGGATAGTGTGACAGTGTTGTTGGGTGCAAATGCTAGTGGAGACTTAAAGCTTAAGCCTGTGTTGGTGTATCACTCTGTCAACCCGCGAGCTTTAAAGGGTTACATAAAGTCTACTCTAGGTGTTCACTTTAGGTCAAGCAAAAAAGGTTGGATGATGGGACAAATTTTTTCTGACCTTCTTGTGGATGTTTTTGAAAATGTTTTTAAAAAATATTGCAAGAAGAAGAATATAGATTTTAAGATTCTCCTTATTTTAGATAATGCGCCAAGCCACCCTCCCACCATTGCTGAGCTTTCTGACAATATCAAAGTGCTCTTTCTACCTCCAAATACAACATCTCTCCTTCAACCAATGGACCAAGGAGTAATAGCAACCTTCAAAGCCTATTATTTGAGGAGTACATTTAAGAAACTTATTGCAGCTACTGAGGAAGGAAATGATAAGGCCAGTGTTCTTCAGTTTTGGAAAAATTTCAACATCAAGCATGCAATTGACATCATTGTGGAGACCTGGGGTGAAGTAAGTAAGGACTGCTTGAGTGGAGTTTGGCAGAAGCTTCTCCCAGATTTAATTCATGATTTTACAGGCTTTGGTGCATCAGAGGAGCTCCCAAAAATTAAAGAAAATTGTGTTTCTCTTGCAAAGCAAATTGGCTTTGCTGAAGTGGAAAGCACTGATGTTGAGGAACTGCTCGAGTCCCACTGTGAAGACCTCTCTACAGAAGATCTACAACAACTTGTTGCTGCTGGGGAAATAGAAGATGCCGAAGATGAAGAAGTCCAGGATGCAAAACCACGAGAGCTTCCCACTTCTGTTTTGTCTTCTATCCTGAGGGAAGTTGATAAGCAGTTGCAGATCTTGGAAGATAATGACTACAATGCAGAATGGAGCAGGATTGCAGTTCGTGGTGTTAAATCTTTTTTGGCACCTTATGAACAGCTTCTTTGTGAAAGAAGAAAGACGGCAAAGCAGCAAACATTAGACGTCTTTTTTAAGTCAACCCCCAAGAAGCAGACTGAAGACACTGAACCACAGCCATCCACTTCTGGAATTAGATGTTTTTTCTTCCCTCCCATGCAACCAAAACTGCACCTGATGATGATGATACACAACCACTCTCCCTGCTTACCTACCAGCCCCCCTTCCCACTGACTTAGTAGAAGAATTTGAAGTAGCAAAACGCCTGGACAAACTAAAATTAAAACGCTCTACCACCCCCATTGACACCAATGAAACACTTAAGGGAGTTCTCCCGAACGCTAAGCCCCTATGCTCCATCATCAATCGTCTCTCAGTCAAGCAGATGCCCAGCTGACTGGAACTCTTATGTATCCACCAATTGCCCAGTCAACCAGCCCACAATCCTTAAATCAAAGCTCGACCCTGTGCAATCACCCCAATACCCAACCCTAATCTGTGAAAGTTTTGTGTTCGACTGGGCTTGATATTGCAGGAATCGTAGACCCACCAGCAATTTGGCAACATGAAAACCTCCTCACCACTCACTGTCTTGTCGCTTTCGATTACATATACGCCATCTCGAGAAACGAAAAAACGTCTGTAGCTGTCGCCTTCATTGATTTCACTAAAGCATTCGACCTGGTCGACCACCAATATAATCATCAACAAACTGGCCTAGTGACCTCCGGGCCGGAGAATCTTATACCATGGCTTACAGACTTCCTCAGTGACCGACGCCAAGCTGTGCGCTTCCGAGGGGCTGTCTCCACCTTTCAGTCACTCACCTGTGGCGTCCCCCAAGGCACCAAGATGGGACCACTCTGCTTCCTTATGCTCATCAATGATGCCCTAGAAACTGCTCGCTGGAAATATGTCGACGATTCCACCATTGGATCAGCGCCAACAATTTGCTCCCCAACTAGGCTCGCCTCAGGATTTATTGAACAGTCTCCAAAACTGGGCTACCAACAACCATGTCACCATCAACCATACCAAGACCATGGTTATGCACATCAACCTCTCCTCCGACGTTGTCCCACCCCCTTCCATTACTTTAGGTCCCAACACACTCCAGGTTGTAGATTCCACTAAGCTCCTCGGCGTCACCATAGACAACAAACTAAATTGGAAACCACACGTCAGTGAAGTTGTCAAATCCTCCAGTTTCCGTCTCCACCTCCTCCGCCGACTCAAGTCCCTCGGAGTTCCTGCACCCGAGCTCCTCAGTGTTTACTCAACATTCATACTTCCCAAGCTCACCTATGCCTCCCCTACCTGGTCTTCCTCCCTAAATGCCACACAACGTAAACACCTAGAAAAAGTGCAAAAGAGGGCATGCAAGATTATTCTCTCCCCTTCCTACTCCACATATCAAGAAGCGCTCAACACACTGACCCTTTCGACTCTCACTGACCATCACCACGACCTCATCTGCAAATTTGGTAAGAAGCTTCTACACCATCCTCGACACCGGCTCCTACTACCACCTGAGATCCCTAGTCCCGAGAATTGCTGTTCGACACAACCGCATCCAGCCCATACGTGCACGAACTGATCGCTATAAGAACAGCCCAGTCCCAACCATTGTAAAAATTATCAATAACTTGTAATAAACCAGTGTATTCACTCCCAGTAAACACTACTCCTTGCACTGTCACTATGTTGAAATGAACTGTAGTTTGAGCTTTTCCCCATCTAGTTATTATATGTCATATTTGTGTCACTTATGTTACTTGTATATTATTTGTAATTCGAAACCCATTCCCCAAATATGTAACTGTATATTTTCAGCCTTCTGGCTGCCAAGCTCTTTCAATAAACCGTTAATTATTATTATTATTATTATTATTTACAACTGTCAAATCCTGTCTGCATGACTCCTCAACCTCAACATCAACCTTCTCCCCCATCAAGTTATATTCATATTTTTTCAAGGTGAAGTGTAACATTTACTGTATGATTTCATTATTAGATATGAATGTAACATTTATTTAGACTGTGCTATCCTTTGTGTTAAGCTGACTACGAAATTTTTTTCAATTTCGAGTAATCTGCACCTAACCCTATTTTCTCCATAAGCCCTGTTATTTCTATTACGCGAATTTCTATCACACGATGTTTTACAAGAACACAACTATCGCGTTATAGCAGAACTGACTGTGCGTTGTGTTGTCAAAGTAAGAGAAACAATTGAGACCCTGCAATTGTGTGTAAATGAGGCAGAAAATCAGGTCAGCAGCCTGGGACTTGGTCACAATTTTCGTGATGCCATATGGCAGCAGGGTCTACCATTAGACAACACATTATGCTACCAAAAATCTTCCCAGGCAGTAGTACCTCCCTGTTTGATAGCTGCCTACTACCTACCGAAGGGCTAAACTTTTGGTGCACTCTGCCATGTGGTAGGGGGCTCTCATAATGTTTCACGAGTTATATTTAATCTTCGAACAAAACCGCGACACGCCTCTTGTCTCTGATTGTACATCCAATCATACACCATAACAACAAAATTTTCAACACAAACATGTAGGTATTTTTCTTACTTGTATCACACATGCAACTCTGCATGTCTTGTGTCTCACAATATGGGAGACAATTACCCTGGAGACACTGTCCTTTCTCAATACAAGGTGTGCCATCTTCCATGGGTTTTGCTTTAGGGCATTCAGCCTTCGTGCCCAAGCACCTCGACTCATTTTCACAAGTGGCTGGCTGCTTCTCACGACACTTTATTCCATGGTTCATGTACTGACAGCTCTGGCAGCACGGAGAATTACGATCACTGCAAGTAGCATGTCCACGTAATTTGCAGTGCTTATCACAACAGTGGTCAATATCATCTTGTCCCACCAGTCCAGCATCACATTCTTCCTGCCCTTCTACTCGCTGGTTTCCACAGTACGATTCTTCTGGTTCCGTAAAGCACCGAGAAGACTTGGCTACCAATACTGCACGAATTGCTCGAAGGCTACATGGAGAAAATCTCTGGGGGGAAGAAAGTGTTGATTTAGTTCAGCAGTACAACAGAAATCTAGTAAGGGTGTTTTGGAAATGGCCGATGTTAGCAGACTGTTAACTCAGTTTAAATGTTTATGAATTGAAAGAAATTCAAGTCCAAACCCTTTTAAATGTTTGACTGGATATGTTGTCTGTGCTTGTAGGGTGCAAGACAGCTCAGTAGTCTTTCTAGAAGACATGATCTTGATTAACTGACAAAACTCTACAAGTGACTGAGGACAAGTTAACCTTTCTCTAACAAGTGATTTCTTGGTGTGCTTTTTCTTAAAATAATTACTCCATACTCATCACTGTCTAACTTATCCACGCAGACATTTACATTACTGTAGACAGATGTGTTTCTAGACCAGGGATACCACATCCTTTAGGTGTAAAAACAAGGGTTTCTAAGGTGCAGCTATAAGGTAACAGTGTGTCAACATCAAGGAGTTAATGGTAGTATATATGGCTGTTTTTCAATCCTCAACAGTTTCTGTTGTTCTAGTTTGTATAAATTTCCCTTTACTTTGCATTTTCTTTCCTCAAATTGCAGCATTGACAAAGGTAAATACCATGTACCCAGTGACAGATCAAATTTAATTGATAAACTGATTCTCCTCCATGAATACTGGCAGATGTGACCCTTGTTTTAATTTATTTTCAATGCTCACTATTAGCATGTGGTGAAAATTTCTCATTTACGTATTAAACAACTAAATCAACAAATCAGAAGGTCTCAAATTTTCAGCAGAAGCACTGAGAACAGCTGTCGGCCAATCTTATTTGGTGTAGAGATAGTTATGGACAAAAGCATCTGCGGAAGATTCAGCCTCATTTATTTATTTATTTATTTTAATATAAGAAAAATATGCTATTATGATCAAGATATAAATAAATACAGTATATTTTTGGTAAAGATTCATATAAACACAGACAAGCAAAAAACATGTATACTGGTACTGTATACCTTATTGTTGATGTCATATCCCGACACTGAGTAGGTGTACATGAGATATGATCCACCCTGGCTGGCACTTGGACTGCATTCTGGCCTGTCAGGGTCATGTTCTGAACCCCAATTGTGACCAAATTCATGAGCCGTGACCAGATCAGCCTCACGGGTGATAACCCGCTGACCATAATGATTCCTGGAAGAGCTGAGGCCCGAATTCAGGTAGAGAGTGTGACCATTCTTGAAGTATTCTGTAGATTCATATTGTTGTCAGTGTATTGTAGATGCAAATTTTATTTATGTTTGTTGAAAAGCAAACACAAGAATCATCTCATACTTTTTACTGCATAATATTTTGATATATTACTGTACAGTACTATTTATTACTTGCCTGTCAGCATAACCAGTGTTAATGGAAAAGATACTCATTGCTGTTATTTACAAAGTTATTTCCGTGTTTAATCAATCCAATGCAAAAGAGTACACTCAGAGTACTGTACAGATTAAAATGACAGGCAAATAAACTGTTCAACAAAATGGCCAGTTGTTCTATGATAGTGACATTATGCAAGAGCTCAAAACTAAATTCCATAACAATGGACATTTTTAAATGTTTTGTAAGTTAATCTAGAAGTAATAAGAATAATAAAAATATTATGGTACAGGTTGAGGATCCTTTATCTAAAAACCTCAAAACCAAAAAACTCTGAAAACTGGAGAAAATTTGAGAGAGGTAAATTCTAAAAAGCACAGTTAAATTCCCCAGGTAATGTTGGTCACCCAGCTGATCTGAGCTGAGCCAAACGTGCCTGATCATTGCCTTGGTTGCCCAGGAAACTTTGTTGATTGTCAAAACTGTTTACAGCCAGACATATTCACCTTATTCTGATACAGTATTGTGTTTATTTCATGCTTTTGGACTATATTATTTTTTTTAATTTTCAAAAAGAGCAATAGATACTCCTATGGGTATGGCGAGAGTTAAAAAGCACCCCTTGTTTTCAGGTCAACTGCAACATCTAATACACGATCACAGTCAGCAGGAGACAAAACTTAGTCTAGAGTGTGTCCAGAAAGATGTGTTGGGCATGAAACATGATTGACAAAATTGTATAGATGGAGAATTTCCAAGAACTTAAGGAAAAAGGCTTCAGAGATGGGTTGTCAACCCAATATTTAAAGTCACCACATATCAACGATTGCTTGTTCTTTCCTGAGAAAGTCTTAGGAAACAAGCCCAAATTTATCCATGAAATCCCTATCTGTATCTGGGTGACCTGGATGATAAGCAACAGGAATTCTAAAGACTTGAAGATGAAAATTTATTAATGCCTCCATAAATTCAAAGGAAAAAAACAGAGTCACTATTAATCAGTTGAGCGAGGCCACAGAATAAATCAGCGCCACCCAGAGCTCCTGCAGCAGGTTTGGGAACATGAACAAGAGAATGTGCCTTGGGAAGAGCACTATGAAAATGTTGATGTCTGATTCATACAACCACATTTCAATTATACAGGGGATATCCAAGCTGAACTCCCTCAGAAACTCATTAACATGATACATTTTGTTTCAGATCACACGGATATTAAACAGACTCACTTTTAATAGGCTCAAGGAGGGCACTACACTTTTTTAACAAATAATGTCAATGTTCTCAATTACTTTTTTACATTTGGAAGTCATTATAGAGCAATCTTTACTTGATGCAAAATGACTGACTGACTTAGGTGGTATATTACAAGAGTGGGACAATTTGCACAGCAAGGTAAGGTCTTAATTGAGCATGACCTAGACTCATGACTGCCTGCACAGAAGGCACTAACTGGAAGACCAGGCTTTCTGGGACAACCTGAAGCAAGGTATCCAAATTTTTGTCAGTCGTAGCATTGAGTGACCCAGAAACTGTCGTAAGCTTTGCAACTGTTCAGTCCAACATAAATGTATCCTTGAAACTTCTCTATGGGATTTCATACTTCAGGTGACATCTTCATGGCTGTGGGTTTACTATCTCCCTTTATCTTAGTGAAAACATGGGATAACTGTTGACAGATGATTGTATATAATGGCTATATTTGACATCTTATATATTGAGCACCATTAAAGAGTAATGTACAGCAATCCCTGATTATTCCCATATTATATATTCACACCTTCGAAGACAATAAAATACAGGTTGGACCTTGCTAATCCAGGAAGTTTAGGACCAGAACCGGTCCGGATTAGCGAAAATTCCGAACCTTCGAAGCTGAGGTTAAAACAAAAGCAAATAATGCATAAAATTTACTATTACTGGTACCAATACAACTTACATCAGCATAAATCTAGCCCAGGCTTACTGGACCTCTTTATGACAAAGTGTTAGTGCTTTGGCACATGTTTACTGTACACTGGACCCTCGCTTTATGCCATTCACTATATGAGAATTCACATACCTGTATATGTAAAGAACTAAACAAAGAATTTATTTGAAACTAGCAGAATCGCCGCCCTCCGGGTGGCTCATCCGCTAGGCAACGGTAAGACGCCACCCTCCGGGAGGCTCCACATTGTCTCACTGTTCAGTCCCCAAAACTTCTTCTTCCATCAATAATTCATTAACGGTGTATGTAAGTTCCACCATGTTTTTCAGTACAAAGGTAACAGCAAAGTATATTTTTTTAGCATTAATCTGTTATTTCATTGTCTAATCATCACTACATATAACACCACCCATCATCACTACATATAACATTATCCATCATCACTACATATAACACCACCCATCATCACTACATAACAATATCCATCATCACTACATATAACATCATCCATCATCACTACATATAACACCATCCATCATCACTACATATAACACCACCCATCATCACTACATATAACAATATCCATCAACACTACATATAACATCATCCATCATCACTACATATAACACCATCCATCATCACTACAGATCGGCAAAGTAGTTTCCGAGATTCTCGTGCGGACACACAGACAAACACACAGACATACTTCTTTGTTATATATATATATATATATATATATATATATATATATATATATATATATATATATATATATATATATATATATATATATATATATATATATATATATATATATATATATATATATATATTATATATACAGTGGGGTATGCTATAACGAATCTAATTGGTTCTAGAACCTTGTTCGTTATAGCATTCGTTCGTTATAGGATTAATCCGTTCCAGGCCCCCAAATACAACCACTTAACACTGAAAAATATAATATAAAATTGTAAAAATTGTAAAAGTGCATAAATATGCATCTAAACCCCTGAAATAATGAGTATCATTAATACTTGTAATAAAAAAACAATAAATTAGTAAAAAAAAAAAATAAAATAAATAAATAAATAAATAATGTTCGTTGTAGGAGTTTCGTTCGTTATAGCATTCTCAATTTTATAGGTAAAACCGTTCGTTATAGGAATATTCGTAGTTGGATCCGTTCGTTATAGCATACCCCACTGTGTATATATATATATATATATATATATATATATATATATATATATATATATATATATATATATATATATATATATATATATATATATATATATATATATATATATATATATATATATATATATATATATATATATATATATATATATACAGTAAAAGTCCAAAAATCCGGATGCCAAAAATCCGGACCACCCGAGAATCCGGACTTTTCGAAAACTTTCAAACTTTTTAAATTTAGCGGGCTTTTGTGGGTTACGTGAATGAATGGAGTTGTTTTAAAAAAAATTAATTTACATAATTCTAATAATAAAAGTAATTGTAAATTATAAGTAGCTAATTTTGCTAGTTTTGTAATTAGCTTGTCCTGAAATGTAAAATTTGAGGCACTATAAATCTTTTGTGTGTATGTGTGCATGCGTGAACGCCACAGCTACACAGCGACAACAAGCGACCACTCGATCGCTACTTTAGAACAAGCAATCAAACTGTGACAACGTATGTAATTTTGAGTCTTACTCTTTCCATTTACAAGCCCATAATAATGGCTCCTAAAGTAGATAAGCTTTGTTGTGTGAAGAGAAAGAAGAACACATTGAAATTGAGTGACAAACTTGAAATACTTAAGAAACTAGAACGTGGTGTGAGCAATGCTGTTCTAATTGAAACATACGACATTGGAAAGTCAACAATTTATGATATAAAAAGGCAAAGAATAAAATTCTAGAATTCACAACTTCTTCTGAGCCTTACAATAAAATTGCTGAAAGAAAAAGTTTACATCGGCCCAAATTAGAAAATCTTGATAAAGTGTTGCACGAATGGTTTTTGTTAAAACGATCAGAAGGTATGGCAATTTCTGGGCCGATGCTTATTGCCAAAGCAAAGTCTTTTAAGGAGCAAATGAACATTGAATCAGAGTGCGCATTTAGTGATGGATGGCTTAGGAATTTCAAGACTCGTCATGGTATTAGACAGTTAGATATTGCTGGAGAAAGACAGTCGGCTGATACACAAGCAGCAACAAAATATAGTGCAACATTTGAAAAAATTGTAAATGACTATGATCTCACAGCCGATCAAATTTATAATGCTGATGAAACAGGGGTTTACTGGAAGTGTTTGCCCACAAAAACTTTGGCTGGAAACCAAGAACAAAATGCAACAGGTTTTAAGCTTAATAAGGAAAGATTAACCGTTCTTGTATGTGCTAATGCTTCAGGTCAGCATAAAATTAAGCTTTTGGTGATTGGCAAATTTAAGCGCCCACGGGCCTTTAAAGGGATTGTGCACTTGCCTGTGACCTATAAAGCCCAAAAGAGTGCTTGGATGGACAAAGACATATTTCACGATTGGTTTGTTCATGATTTTGTTCCATCAGTTCGTCAGAGCTTAAGGAAATTGGGGAAGCCTGCAAATACAAAGTGCCTGCTACTTCTCGACAACTGTAGGGCCCACCCGCATGAATCAAAATTAGTCTCTGATTGTGGGAATATTTATGCATGTTACTTGCCACCAAACGTAACATCATTGATTCAACCCATGGATCAAGGAGTCATTAGGAACTTTAAATGTCACTATAAAAATGATTTTATGACGAAAATGATGAATAAGAATGTCAACCCTACAGAATTTCAACGCAGTTTTACGATCAAGGATGCAATATTTTCACTCGTGACTGCCTGGAATGCAGTCACGAGTGAAACACTTTTAAGAGCGTGGCGAAAGTTGTGGCCGAAAGTGATGTT